ATAAGTGAACGTGCAGGGCTCTCAGCTTGGACCCGCTCACCGATCACGTCGCTGAGCGGGTTCGTGAAAGCAGCGACACTCAATGTACAAGGACTGGCTTCCAGAAAGAAACAGACTCAGCTCTACAGACTAGCCATGGACCAAGACCTGGACATTATTGCAGTTCAGGAAACCAAAGTGGAGAGCGTGGACGCCACCGAGAGCCTACTGCAACGTTTCACCAGACGCTACGCCGCCAGCGTCAGTCATGCAGTTGGTAGGTCAGCAGGGTGTGTCATCTTTGTGCGGAATAGTTTAGGTGCCAGTGTTCAAAACGTCACGTCTGACTCATCCGGAAGGTTTGTTGTATGTGATTTGACCTTCTTTTCTCTTAATTGGCGTGTGATTTGTTTATATGCACCTCTTAAAGTTTATGAACGGTGTGTAACATTCGACGAAATTCGTACTTATTGTGAATGCGATCGCATAGTCATCCTTATGGGAGATTTTAATTGTGTGATCAGTGCCGATGATAAAACAAGTACATTCAATTTCAACGACTCAAGCACAGTCGCGTTAACGAATCTGATTTCTGACTTAGACCTTGAGGATGTTGCAGAGTGTATTGGTAAAGGACCAACACTGTATACGCATTTCCAAGGCTCCAGTCATGCGCGCCTAGATAGGTCCTACGTATCACTGGATTTAATTCCGATTATCAGTGAGTACAATGTCCTCCCTATTTCATTTAGTGATCATTGCTTAGTATCATTTGTAATAGGTAAAAGAAATAGACGTAGACCAGTATTTAACTGGGACACGTGGAAGCTGAATTCTAATCTCTTGGAAGATGGAAAATTTATGGACAGTGTTCGAGAGGCGTTGGTAAACATAGATAGTGGAGACCAAAAGTACGGAGTGAAGTGGGAACAATTTAAACAGAACATAAAGTTGATAGCTATAGAACGCTCATGTGTAATAAAACACGGAAAGAGTGAAGAAGAAAGAACCCTACGTTTAAATCTCAAAGAACTGCTAGCAGAGGACAGCAAAACGCCAGGCTTATTCACAAATGATATAAGGTCAGTAAAGTCCAAATTGGAACAAATGGATGAGGAGAAGTATCGTGGCGCACAAATAAGGGCAAGGGTAGAGAAAATGACCGTAGGAGAGAAACCGACCAAAAGATTGCTTGGTCTCGAAAAACGAAACGCTCAGCGGAATGTTATACATCAGATTGAATACATGGGTAACGTTACAAGTGAACAAAGATATATAGAGGATGCTTTCAAAAAGTACTACACCACTTTATTTCATAAATGCAAAGTAAATGTAGATGAATTCGAGAATGAATTTTTAAAATTAATGCCAAAGGTTGAGGACTGCAGGACAGACACCCTAGAATGTCCTATTTCTGAACCGGAAGTGACAAAAGCAATCATTGCCCTCCATTTGGGAAAGGCCCCAAGACCTGATAGCTTAACAGCCGCATTTTATAAGGAATTCAAACACAAACTAGCACCGATCCTGGCAGTGGTTTTTAACGAAGCCTTAGACATAAAGACTCTGCCACCTTCTTTTCTGCTATCTCATACTATTTTATTTCCAAAAACTGAGGACGCAGTTAAATTACGTGAAGTGAAATCGTACAGGCCAATCAGTCTCTCAAATATCGACTACAAGATTTTGATGAAAGTGCTAGCAAGGAGACTGCAGACAGTTATTAATAACATTGTAGGCGACCACCAGACATGTGGGATTAAAAGGTGCACTATATTCACAAACATTCACAAGGCACGAAGTGTATTGGAGTGCTGCGATGCCACAAACGATCACATCGCGATGATTCAGATAGACTAAGAAAAAGCATTTGACCATGTACCGCACGAAATTCTTTTTCTTTTGTTAGACAATGTCAATGTTGGCAAAGTAATTCGAGATACAGTTCGAATGGCATATACTGGATGTAAAACTCGGCTAATCATCAACAAAGTTCTTGGGAAACGAATTAATGTCAGTCGTTCTGTACGACAAGGCTGCCCTTTGTCTTCCCTCCTATTTTCAATTTATATAGAGTCATTTTGCCAAAAAGTCATGAAAAGCAATAACATAGTGGGGTACAAACTACAAGAAGCTGAAGTACGGGTACTGGCATACGCAGATGATATAGCTGTGTTTTGTAAAGATTATGATAGTATCGCTGAAACCATAAAAATTGTGAACCTTTATTGTAATGCAAGTGGTAGTTTGGTAAACTGGAGCAAGTGCCTGGGTTACTGGCACGGCGAATGGCCTGTGACTCCACAATTTGTGGCTGGTATTTCATGGACTACTACTCCGGTACAATACCTAGGTGTGCCATTAGAATATTATTGTGACAGTGAACCGTACTGGCGGCGTCAGGCCGGGGAGCTACGAGAAAAAGCTGAACAACTCAATGGTTTCCAGCTATCAATTTTCACCAGAGCGACATTTTGTAACGTATTTTTAGTCAGTAAGCTCTGGTATGTCCTTCAGGTAATGCATTGTTCACGTGTGAACTTACAGAAGCTTCATCGAATTTTTGCTGTTTTCTTGTGGGGTTCTTCTTGGGAGCGAACAAGTAGAACTAACTTATTCAGACGGGTTCGCTCTGGAGGACTTGGTCTGTGTCATTTGTACCTTCATCAGTTAGTTAATCGGTTTATGTTTTTCCGAAATAATCGAGACCCATTCATACTGCTTAGGCTTGGAAGACGGTTGCCAGAATTTGTGGTAGCATCTGTTCGCATGAAGGCAAGTATTAGAGGTTTCTTAAAAGAAGTTGTTGATTCATGTCTCTTTCTAAAAACGCGTTTTTCATTGGAATACCTCAGTACGGTTTCGCGTAAAAAGTTATACAAATATTTAGTAGACACAGTTCTTCCTGTTCCCCTATATAGAGCATTATACCATGTAGGCCCAGGCTAAAATGTCTTAAGCCGTGTAAAAAAAATGAAGGTAACACCTGGAGCGAAATCCTCTTTCTTTAAGTTGCACACTGGGACCTTGCCCGTGAAAACATGGATGCAAGAAAAAGGCTTATTCGTTTCTTGGGGTGTTGATTGCCTTCTCTGCAAAAAGCCGGAAACAATTGAACATGTTTTCCTGGACTGCTGGGATGCAGTCTTTTTCTGGGATGTTCTCCAAAGGACTTTGAAAAAGGATCTGCCTCTCGATGCCTATGGCATCAGATTTCTACCAGCATCAAATGAAGAAGGAATACCTTTCGACCTAGTTATGTTACTGGGCCTGCACGGTATATGGCAATCTAGAATGGCGGTGCGCCATGCTGATGTTAATGCACGTCCGGTTAGGCAATATTTCTTTCAATCTGTCTGTTCGTTCGTGGAAGCACAAAAGGTTCAACAAAAGGTGCCCGAACGGCTTCATCAAGTAGAAAGCCTTCTACAGATGAAGGAATTTTAAAATCCTGTTAAATATAATGCTTTTTACCTCTTTTTTTGTTTCATGTTTCTACTTTGTTTGATGTATATATGTTTGTGAATGTTGTATGTAAACAGGCAATGAAGAAAGAAAAAAAGGTTTCGTAGCCGAGTGGTCTGACGCGTCGCTCTGGAGAGTTCACCGTAGTTTTGAAGTGCGTGGGTTCGAATCCACGTGGTGTTATTTTTTTTATAATTTTTGTGAGTTCAATTCGAAATCTTGTTTTTTTTTCAGTAACTTCAACTTACTTGCACGCGGAAGTAAACTGCACGTATCTATTCATTTGTAGCATACCGTGTTCCCTTGTGAGGGCCGGAACCTGCTGAGCTGCACCGAGGTTTGACCAGCATGGCGATTTTGTCGCGATTATACCGCATTGTCGGTTTACCTCGTTGATGTGAGCGAGTACTGCGAGTAAGATGACGTTAATTTATAGATTAGGTAGCACAGCATCTCCTATGAGGCTGGGTTAACGACAGGTGCTCACCTTCAACTTTTGTTTTCGTCATTGCCCCGATGATCCACTTTTCTGTGCCACTCTTTAAACACTCAGCAGGTTATTGATTATAGCGGGCCACCGGCAGAATAACCTGTTCAGTTTTAGCAAAACAGTGCGGAATCGACCTTCCACTGCACTGTGCGGTATCCCGACGCACTTCGTGCGAGTAACGAATGATACGTTATTAAGGGAAAGGGGAAGAAAGCAAATTTTTGTAGCTCGGAATAGTGATTTTGGCACACAAACGCATAAAACATTTCCTAGACTTGGTATTCGCCTGTTTACTGTCTTAATAAATGCGACATTTTTGTTAATTGTTATGCGCGATTTATTTCTTCAGTATAATTCCAACCCATCCTTCTTCCCGCAAGTAAGAGTTCCTTTTGTATCGTTCAAAAGAGAGTTTCAGCTAGGCTGTTATTCGGCAGAAACTCTAAATTTTAATTTATGCGTCAATCGTTTTTTTATAAAAACCTGGATATGGCCTGTTTTTCTCGGTTGAGAAAATCTTTATGGTATAGGGTAATTCAGTGCCCGAAAATTGTACTGGTTCAAAAAGTTGGAGATTTGTTCCATACATACATACATCCAGGGGCAATACTCATTGTGTGCGATGGACCAATATTCCAAACGGATGACGACTTTTGTGGTTTAAAAAACGCAAACTTTATTTACAGAAGAGCACCTCTGGCCGATGTCGTGGTGGGTTCCGACATCTTCTTTTTTTTTCCTTTTTTATACCAAGTTTTTAAAGAGGTCATGTGACCATTCCGAACGTTTGCACTTCGCGACAAAATATAAATAAGGTAATTATTAGGGAGCAGTACATTGCAGTGTCCTTCCTAGCCCGGGTCACTTGGCGACGTTAAACCCAACACACAAAATCACACGATGAAGAAGCACTCTTTGCTTTGTCATAATAACACAGCCTTCTTGGGGAATGAGCTCAGCATGAAGCAGCACGAGCAGGTTCACTAGAAAGGTGTCCACAATCCAGCTCAACCAGTCGACCCTCGTGAACAAAGCCACCACTGACAGGCCGCACATTCCTCGAAAGTCAGCAAAGTTCTTCGATGCCACTCAACTCGTCATCACTGAACTGAGCACCTGACTCATCGGAGGAGGAGTTGCACGAATCACAAATGCAGAAGACAAGTGGTTCGATTTCACTATCCACAATCATGTCCCGTTCCCCTGCTTCAGCTTCAACTTGCTCTACATGAGCGCAGCAGTTTTGCCACTTTTCCTGTTTTACAGATGCTAGTGCTTCTGGCAGAAGCTTCTCTACTTCAGCCAAAGTGAAACCCGCATTCCGTGCTGCCATGTACCCCTTTACCTGGCTCCAAACAAGCTCGATTGGGTTGAACTCGCAGTGGTATGGTGGTACACGAAGCACTTCATGGCCGCGGGTAGCCGCCAGAGTGTCGATGCGGTACACAATACTGGGTGTGTTGACCTTTTGGGAAAGTTCCAGCAGTTCAGCTCTCACCATGTCCTCTGACCACGGAACACCTTTCTTTGTGAGCCAAAGCTGAATATCAGCTTTGCGCGTCGACTTGGTAGGTGCTTTCTCAAGAGCTACGCTGTGGTATGGCGCATTGTCCATGACAATAACGCTATTAGGCGGAATGTTTGGCAAAAGCTTGTCGGTGAACCACTCCTCAAAGTATCTGTCATCCATCTCAGAGTGGTAGTCAGCGCTGCCCCCCTTTTTTGCTTGGAAGTAGTCAGCAGCTCCTTCGATGAAACGAGTTGCACTGCTGCCAGCATGTACGAGGATCAAATGGGCCCCTTTGCCCGAGGGGTGCAGCCAATCCTGTCGTCAGACCTTTGAGGAAGGCATCTTGCGATGACTTCACAGTCGTGCCCTGCCAAACGTACCCCTTCGTTGTGCCCTGCGTTGACCCATGTTTCATCCAAGTAGATGATGCACCTGTACAAAGTAAAACAAACGAGCGCACGAGTTAGCGCACACAAGTAAACATACCCACAGCAGCAGCTTGAATCTTGGCATGACCATAGTCGAAAATACTGCAAAGGACAACTTGAGCAAAAAGTACAAAAAGCATTCATATGCATATTCTATTTTCTTTGTTACCCACTCATATGCTGACTGCTCTTTCGTAAACAGCTGCTTAGCGTCAAACGAGGAAAAAAACGGTCGGTGTCAGTGCTTTCTTTAGTCGGGCTTTAATTCGGCACGTAGGTGGCATTTGGCTGTCAGTTCTGATTCATGGCAAGTTCACATGTCACACATGCGGTATTCGGTAAGAATTCATTGGCCGTCGCTATCATTTTGCACGAATGGAAACAAAAATAGACACCAATATTCCCAACAATGCTGCCAGTACTCGCATCTTTCATGGGAATGAGCGCTCACCGCACCAAACGGCGGAGATTTAGCGAATAACTCTCACCGATTGAGGCAAATACCCCCACCCAACAAAACAAAAGTCGTGAAATGCGACCTGCAAGCAAATACCTTGCTTAACTGTTTTCTTTTTTCCAGGTTGTAATTCAGATGTAATACTCTCCATTACGATTATAACGTTGCAATGCTACATCAAGTGTTATATCAAGGCAATCTACATGTGCTGCGTAAGAAAATATGAAAATAACGGTTCCCACCTGCCCTGTCCTCGGAATTTCTTCATCGCCCGCAAGTACCTGCGACGCTAGGCAATTCTTTATTCTTTATTCTTTATTCGGTGAGTGCCCCACTTTGCTCAAAAAGGCGTTACAGCAGGGGGGTTACAGACTGGAATAAAACAATTCTTCGTTTATACAGCACACTTGCTTGTCTTGCAGCCGGTTCCAATCTCTAATGGTCATCACAAAAAAGGAATTATAAAACATGGTCGTTCTTGCACGATACTCTTTCACTTTGCGTCGGTGGCCATGTCGACTAGATATGTAACTGGGTTCAATGAAATAGTTATGATGGTCAATCCCAGTCCGCCCATGAAAAACAGAAAAGAAAAACTTCAAACGCAGTTTTTTCCTGCGTAAAGAAAGCAATTCCCAACCCAATTCAGCTTTCATAGCACTGCAGCTGTCTCTCCGCTCGTACCGCCCTAAGACAAACCGTGCAGCTCTGTTTAGTATTTTTTCAAGCTTATCAATCAAGTTCGCCTGCATCGGGTCCCACACAGGACATGCGTATTCCAAAATCGGTCTAATACATGTGAGATAGGCTGTGTTTTTTAATGTTCGGGGTGCCAATCTTAGGTTCCTCTGAATGAAGTTTAGAGCCCTTGCCACTTTGCCAGCAACGTGATCAACATTGGCATTTCATGAGCATTCATGCGACAAAACAACGCCAAGATATTTGCATGTTGGTTCGGTAATAACAGTATGCGTATCTATGGTGTACGCCGTTACTATTGGTTTCTTTTTTTTTTGGAAACACGCATATGAACGCACTTTTTGGGGTTTAGCGTCATTTGCCACTTCTGGCACCACTGTACAATAGAATCCAAATCGTTCTGCAAATAAGCACAGTCACCTTCGTTCTGAACCTGTCGATATAACACACAATCGTCGGCAAATAAGCGCATGCGCGACGAAATACCCACAGAAATATCATTTACAAAAATAAGAAATAAGAGAGGCCCAAGGACAGAGCCTTGGGGCACGCCTGATGTAACGTTAACATAGGATGAACACTTCCCATTTAAAAGAACGCATTGACGCCTGTTCAGCAAGTAATTGGTTATCCAGATGAACACATTTGGGTCGAAATTTAGAGTCTGTAATTTAGCCAGGAGAAGGGAGTGTGACACGGTGTCAAAGGCCTTTCGAAAATCTAAAAACACACAATCTGTTTGCCCACCTTCATCAACGTTGGAAGCCAGCTCGTGAAAGAACTCTACAAGTTGCGTCGTACAAGAAAAACCTTTACGAAAACCGTGCTGCTCATTTATTAATACATTATTAGCAGTAAGATGGGTCAATATGTGCTTGGATAAAATGTGCTCGAAACTTTTGCATGCCACTGACGTCAATGAAATGGGTCGGTAATTTGTTACATCTTTTTTTGAGCCACCCTTATGAACCGGAACAACATGAAAAATTTTCCAATCTTCGGGTAGAGTTCCCGTTGAAAGGGATTTCGAATAAATTATATAAAGGTAAAGGGAAATTGGCAGTGCACATCGCTTTGGAATACGAGGAGAGATGCCATCAGGACCAACTGCTTTGGATTCATCTTGGTTTTCTAGAAGAGAACATATGCCACAGACACTCAGTTCTACCGGTGGCATCGGCAGAATCGTGGTTGGGTGTGGTGTCACTGCGCTCGATTAGCGCAAGATTCCGTTTTCTCTTAGCAAAGATGAAGCCGGTGTCCTTCATTAGCCTCCACAGGGTGGTTTTCGTGAAGTTCGGCAAGTCGTCATCTTCGTTGACAGCCCTTATCACACTGTCCAGTGTTGGGATCTCCCTTTTGGCGTACATGCTGTGCACTTTCAGACGGATGGCATGGATTGTCAAGCTGTCATGTTTGACGGTTCGTGAGCTCGAAATCTTCACCTCGCGAGCTCAATTTTTCGGTGACACCAACGGCCCACGCAGACGCTCCGCCATCAATTTCGCCACGGTACGGGGAGATATTCCAGTGTCCTCGCTCACAACACTCAGCACTTCCCGCACAGATTTCTCCGGGAAACTCATCCTGGTATGGGCGTACACATTTGCAATTACTTGCTTGGCGTGCTTTGACAGCTTTGATGTGCGAAGCTTCGAAAAAATTCGCGCAGGAGAAGTGGTCGAGGCCGCAGAGCTGGACGCCATTTTTTCGAAGCTGCCACAACAAGTAAAAAAAAAAACGGCGGCACGGGTCGCGCGGAGAGCGAAAACCTGATACGTAAGCGACAAACATAAATTACCAACTCGCATATTTGGATTGTTTATCCGACAACACAGGCGTTTGTTTTTTAACCTGATGACAAATATGTATGCTTAGAAGTTTCCCGAGAAGCATTTATTGATTCTCGTACACCCCAAGCGACGCACTACTTTTTGGTTGCGGCAGTACACAGCGCAAACAAGAGCGCTAGCTTTGACAGCGTTGCACATGATGTATGAAACGGAGTATAGTATGTACCATGAACTCGAGGTGGTTAAAGGTGGGAAGTAAACCCGAAGTGCAAGCCGTAAGGAAGTATGCATGTGCCACCTGCCACTTAATCCTTGAAATGTCCGCTGGATGGCGGTGCTTCTATATGGAGAATATATGATGAAAAGATGCGAGATGGTGGTAGTTGGAGTGCTGAATAGATGGTCGAACGGACACACAGACAGATGCATAGATGGACGCATGAACGAACGCAGGCGCGGATGCATTGACGAACGCAGGGACGGACGCACGAACAGACGCACGCATGGACGGGTGGATGGACGCATAGACGGTTACACAGACGTACGCAGGAACGGACGGAAGCAAGAACGAATGGACGGACGAATGCTTCGCCCCACTCCCCATCATTCACTCCGTGGATATGCTGCCAATTTTTATATGTATTTTTTGTTGTATTAAGTGTTGATGTATTTTGTTTTTTGTATTGAAGTGTTGTACTAGATCCCGTGTGCTCCAATATCAATAGAGTAAAGTTTGTTTTGTTTTCTCACGTCTCTGATCTCTTCACTGTCTCTGCTTGCGTACGGAACGAACTCACCTGCTGTCATTCCCGCCGCCGACTTCGCTCTTGCGACGCTAGAGTGGCAGCTTGTAAATATGACAATATATATATATAGCCCTAATCACGGAGCCGTAGTACAAGCAACCTGGTTCCATGTAGAGTTTAGAACATGAAGTATTGTTGGGCAGCTGAGATTTCGTTAACCTGTAGTTTGAAAAGAAACTTCCTCCATTTGTATTTTTTGCATGTTGCCTAATAGAAAACATGTAAAACACAAAAATCCACTTATAATTTATTTCGGGCTTCTAAGGGCCCTGAGCCGACAAATCACTGAGGCGCCTAGTGGCTTAACCTTACACCGACTATGGACAGCATTGCCTGTTCATGCTTTACGGGTGGAACTGACACTACGTATGCACATCTAATGCGTCTATAGATAAGGTAAGTTTTATAAAAATAAAGTATGTGAGAAAAGACAACAAATGTGCTCCTCCGAAAGATGATTAACTCGGCACTAGTGGTTTCATTTTCACGTGGTGATGAAAATGCGCCAACCTTTGGCTCAGAAGTTAACTCCACAGATCACAAAAACCTTTTTGAGGATCAAAAGGCGCGTACATTAAAATACTACTGTAGTGCGCGGCAGCACGGGAAATCACTGTAGTTTGGCACACGCTATTTGAAAGCACGGAGAATATAATAATGGTTGTGTCTTGAAAAACATTTTTGAAGTACAGGTACACACACCGCCACGGTGGTCTAGTGGCTAAGGTACTCGGCTGCTGACCCGCTGGTCGCGGTATCAAATCCCGGCTGCGGCGGCTGCATTTCCGATGGAGGCGCAAATGTTGTAGGCCCGTTTGCTTAGATTTAGGTGCACATTAGAGGACCCCAGGTAGTCTAAACCTCCGGAGCCCTCCACTACGGCGTCTCTCATAATCATATGGTGGCTTTGGGACGTTAAACCCCACAAATTAATCAAAGTACAGGTACACAGGCGATGCATCATACCTGAGCACATTTTGTCAAATGTGCCTGTTTTGTTGTACAATATCTACGCTAAGAATCTTCATGTGCTTGATCTAAACGCCTTCTCTAAAGTAATGGTGTGAGATCTCCCATTAGAAATCTTAACTCAATTTTAAATATCTCTTTTTGCCTAGTTTAAGGTCTCTGCAGTTATTGAAGTAGGCATTTCAGCATCAAAACTCATTTGGTATAATACTACGAGAACGGGAGACCAGGTCTACGCATGTCTACTATTTGCCCGCCATAAACAATGTTTATATGCAAAAAGTTTGCAACAAATATAATATCTCTTTAAACAAGTTGGGAAGAGGAAGATGTAATGCTTCAACGAGATGGCCAGTGTAGCAGAAAAACTAATTAATTTGTCAGGCTGCCCTCATCGTCTACACTGCGCACATTCTGCTTGCATGCCTAATGATTGAACCACAAGAGCTTTAATTAAGGACAGCGCCTCAGGTAGTTAATTAGAAGGAGAAGTACACCGTAAAATGAAAGTGCGCTGCGGCAGACTAAAGATTAACTAAATTGCAGAGAGCGGGTCAACTATGTAAAGTGTTGGAAAGAAATTGAAACATTTGCAGCAAGTCAACGCGGGAAAAAGTCATCTTCGTTGCAGCACCGAGGAAGGGTGGAAAGCTGCGGATAGGCTAACCGTTTTCTTTGTTTCTTTAAAGGCAAAAATTATTTATTCAATGTTACAGGGTTTCGGGCATTTTTACAAAGTGCCAGATAACATGACATCTTCCTTGCAAAGACGAAAACAGAGCAGCAGCACATGGTAGAGCTAGTGACTGTTATCTTGTTCATTTGAGGCAAGATAGTTTTATTACACTCTATAATTTTTTTATGCTAATGAAGCATAAATATCATTGGAAAAACATTAAACTACATTTAAACGGCTACCCAATTTAAAAGTCCAATACCACAGCATGTCTTTCCTTACCAAGTTAGCATACGTACAGGTGGATATTTTATGCACAGGAAAAGAGGGGACGTTTATATACTAATCGCTTTGTTGACCGTAAAGCTGTCAAGTTTGCTTGGTTAGTTTATTTTCTAGTCAGCAGAGCTATAGAAGTGCACTATGCGGGACTTGGTAGTCGGAAATAGGTAGCAAATAAAGTTGAAGTAGCTTCATCGACACAACGTCGGGAATACGGGTTAAACTGCAGAGGTGGCGTCACATTGAGCGCTATTCTATTGCTTTACTTTCCTCTCTAGTAGTTTGCCAGTTAGTTCCTACACCAAAGCACGGCATACTTACACAATGTTATAGAACAGTTCTTACAGATTATGTATAGTCAGACTGGTCTAAATTGTGATCGAGTCATGCAGGATTCACCTATAGACCATTTGCGCATAGTGAGCAAATGTAATCTTGGGAAGAATGAAGCATCCCGAAATTCTGACTATCCAGAATTTCTATCTATCTATCTATCTATCTATCTATCTATCTATCTATCTATCTATCTATCTATCTATCTATCTATCTATCTATCTATCTATCTATCTATCTATCTATCTATCTATCTATCTATCTATCTATCTATCTATCTATTTATCTATCTATCTATCTATCTGAAAGCATAAGACTTGAGCCATCGCCAAATATTTTATCTACGGACAGGTTTATCATCAGTGAGCCAGAGGCCAGCAGTGGGTTTTGACGAATATCTGTGCCGCATATTCCCTATGCCATTTTCTAACGGCAGGGACGCCAACATCGCAGATGTAACCTCGGCCTTAAAGAGCTTTGTTGGTAAACAACGTAAGTGCGGAACGAGTATAAGTTAGAAAAAACAGTGACAGCACAAACGCCACGTATTTTTAGTTCGATTTACTTTGTTTCCGAAGCGCAATATGAGCAATAGAAGCCATCCGTGTTCATGCAATATATTTGAACCTGCTTTCACTCTCAGAGAAGCAATTATTTGTGTGGTTTGCTTGAAATATTTCGCCCCTTGCATTTATTGTCAGTAAAGTCTAAGACACATACTTTATTTCCGGAGTCCTGGAGTGAATTGCCTAATTGATTTTGCTTACCGGTGTTTTTTCGCAATAACTACTGCCGCACACACTAAACCATCTCAGCCGAAAATGAGGATATATGCTAACTACGAGGTCACTGATTTACTTTGCGGCAACGAAAGCCTAATTTTCATGAGGTGTGAATCCGCTTACCTACGTCACATTGGACAGCTTCACCACGCAGCACCCATCGTTAAGGACACAAAACACGTAATTGGGGGCACAGGACCCAAGAAATAGACATTACTGGAGACATTCATATAGCTTTGCGCACTTATTACAAATACTTGCTGCCATCCTTCCAGCAGTGTAAAAAAGAGGCGCGAAAAATGTTTCTCAGTGCAGTTTTGGACTGCGAACAAGAGTTATCGTTATTTTTTGTCGCATTTTTCTATAGTCCGAGCAAACAAAGAAAAGTTTTGAGATAACTCGTGGTCTTGCTAATTCATGCTCGTTGTTATTTCTCACGATTTCCTTCGCCTTACAACGCACAGCCAAAATGAGTTTTTGTCATATTTTACGTATTCAGGGGTTCAGTGAGTATTATGATATCACTTGTGTTGTGCCGGGCAATACGAATATAAAAGGGAACAGCTTGTGCGATAAAGTAGCACATCTCTGTTGCGCCGCATTTAGGTTGTAGTGGCAGGTTTCGAGACAATTAACGTATGTCAGGGGCGCCAGAAAGAGTACCTGGCAAACTTTCCATTGCATTAGTGGCGTATCTACATGAAAAAAAGGTGAGTTTTTATCAATGTA